ATAATGGCTCCCTCAAACAAAATATCTCTTTCTTTGCTCTCATCGCTGTCCTATCCCCATCTCCCGAATCTCATTCCCTCAAGTTCACCTCCCCCTCCCCTTTTCCCCTCATCTTCTCCTTCTGTCCTCCCTCCCTGCAATCTCATAGTCCCAATTTGGTCAGGCAATCCTGTCTGCTTTTCCTTTCTAGGTGTGTATGTTTTTCTTAGGGTTCATCTTGTTACTTAGCTTCTCCTGGATCTTGAACTATAGGCTTAATATCCTTTGCTTTACAACTAATAACTACTTATGTGTGAGTACATAGGTCTGTGTTACTTTACTCAGATTTTTTTTCAAGTTCCACCCATTTGCATGCAAATTTCAAGGTGTCATTTTTTTACCACTCAGTAGTACTTTAATGTATAAATGTTTCATTTTTTTTTTACCACTGAGTAGTACCTTAATGTATAAATGTTTCATTTTTTTGTCCATTCTTTGGTTGAGGGGCATCTAGGTTGTTTCCAGGTTCTGGTCATTACAAATAATGCTGCTATAAACATAGTTGAACAAATGCCTTTGTAGTATGATTGGGCATCTTTTGTTTATATGCCCAAGAGTGGTATTGCTGGATCTTGAGGTAGGTTGACTCTCAATTTTCTGAGAAATCACCACATTGATTTCCAAAGTGGTTGTACAAGTATGCATTCCTACCAGCAATGGATGAGTGCTCCCTTTGTTCCACATCCTCTCCAGCATAAGCTATCATTAGTGTTTTTGATCTTAGTCATTCTGACTGGTGTAAGATAGTATCTCAGACTTGTTTTGATTTGCATTTCTCTGATTGCTAAGGATGTTGAACATATCCTTAAATATCTTTTAGTCATTTGAGGTTTTCCTGTTGAGAATTCTCTGTTTAGTTCTGTACCACATTTTTAATTGGGTTATTTGGAATTTTGATGTATAATTTCTTGAGTTCTTTATATTTTGGAGATCAGTCCTCTGTCTGATGTTGGGTTGGTAAAGGTTTCTTCCCATCCAGTAGGCTGTCTTTTTGTCTTATTGACAGTGTCTTTTGCTTTACAGAAGTTTCTCAGTTTATGGAGATCCCATTTATTTATTGTTGCTCTCAGTGTCTGTGCTACTGGCGTTATATTTAGGAAGTATTCTTCTGTGCCCATGCATTGAAGACTACTTCCCACTTTTTCTTCTATTGTTTTCAGTGTGGTCAAATTTGTATTGAGGTCTTCAATCAGTTTGAACTTGAGTTTTATGCTTGATGATAGATATGGACCTATTTTCATTCTTCTTCATGTTGATATCCAGTTATGCCATCACCCTTTGTTGAAGATGCTTTCTTTTTTTCCATTGTATATTTTAGCTTTTTTTTAATCAAAAATCAGGTGTTTATAGGTGTGTGGATTAATGTCCAGGTCTTCAATTTGATCCAATTGGTCAACTTCTCTGTTTGTATGCCAGTACCAAGCTGTTTTCATTACTGTAGCTCTATAATAGATAGCTTGATGCCTCTTAAAGTTCCTTTATTGTACAGGACTGTTTTTATCTTTCCTGGGTTTTTTTGTTTGTCCATATGAAGTTGATCATTATTCTTTCAAGGTCTAGAAAGAATTGTGTTGGGTTTTTGATGGGGATTGCATTGGATCTATAGATTGCCTTTGGCAGGATTGACATTTTTATTATGTCAGTCTTATCTATTCAAGAGCATGGAAGATCTTTTTATTTTATGGTATCTTCTTTAATTTTTTTCTTCACAGACTTAAATTTTTTGTTGAGCAGGTCTTTTACGTCTTCGGTTAGTGTTACCCCAAGATATTTTATGCTATTTGTGGTTATTCTAAAAGATGATGTTTCTCTGATTTCTTTCTCAGCGTCTTTTTTCATTTGTATATAGAAGGACTACTACTTTTTTAGTTGATCTTGTATTCTGCCACATAACTGAAGTTATTTATCAGCTGTAGAAGTTCCCTAGTAGAGTTTTTAGAGTCACTTATAAATGCTATCATATAATCTACAAATAATGAAAGTTTGACGTCTTTTCACATTTGAATCCCCTTGATATCCTTATGTTGTCTTATTGCTCCAACCAGAACTTCAAGTACTATGTTGAGTAAATATTGTGAGAGTGTACAGCCTTGTCTTGTTTCTGATTTTAGTGGCATCATTTCTACTTTCTCTCCATTTAATTTGATATTGGCTGTTGAGCTTGCTGTATATTGCTTTTGTCATGTTTAGATATATTTCTTGTATCCATGATCTAAGACATTTATCATAAAGGGGTGTTGGGTTTTGTCTAATGCTGTTTCAAAATATAATGAGATGATCATATGGTTTCTTTCTTTCAGTTTTTTTATATGGTGGATTAAAATGATAGATTTTTGTATGTTGAACCATCTCCATACCTCTAAGATGAAATGACTTGATCATGATGGTTAATTTTTTTTGATGTGTTCTTGGATTCGGTTTTCCAGTATTTTATGTTCATGAGTGAGATTGGCCAGTAATTGTCTTTCTTGGTTCTGTCATTATCAGGTTTTGGTATCATGGTGACTATAGCCTCATAAAAAGAGTTTGACAATGTTTTTTCTGTTTCTTTTATGTGGAACACTTTGAGGAGTATAGATATTAACTCTTTGAAGTTCTGATAAAATTCTGTACTGAAACCATCAGTCCCTGGGCTCACTCTTTCTCTCTCTCTCTCTCTCTCTCTCTCTCTCTCTCTCTCTCTCTTTCTTTCCTTCTTTCTTGTTTGGAGGCTTTTGATAACAGTTCATATTTTCTTGCAGGTTATAGTTCAATTTCAATTGCTAACCTGGTCTTGATTTAATTTTGGTAAGTGGTACCTATTCAGGAAATTGTCCACTTCTTTTAAATTTTAAAATTTTGTGGAGTATAGGTTTTTGACATATGACCTAGTAATTCTCTAGATTTCCTCAGTGTCTGTTGTTATGTCCCCTCATTTAATTTCTTATTTTGTTAATTTGTATATGGTTAATTTTAGAGTAGGTTCCATATTTTGTTGAGAAGAAGGTATATTACTTTTTGTTTGGGTGGAATATTCTGTAGATGTTTGCTAAGTCCATTTGAGTAATGACATCTGTTAGTTCTCTTATTTCTCTGTTAAGTTTCTGTCTGGTTGACCTGTCCATTGGGGAGAGTGGGTTGTTGAAGTCTCCTACTATTAGTTTGTCATGTTTGATATACAATATGAGCTTTAGCAACGTCTCTTTTACACTTCACCTGCTTGTTTCTTAGGTCCATTTGATTGGAAAATCTTTTCCCAACCTTTTTCTCTGAAGTACTGTCTGTCTGTGAGGTTGAGGTGTGTTTTTTGCATACAGCAGAAGGCTGGATTCTATTTTCTTATCCATTCTTTTAGCTTGTGTATTTTTTTAGGTGAATTGAGTCCATTGATATTAAGAGATATTTATGACTAGTGATTGTTAATTACTATTATTTTTTGATGGTAGCATGTGTGGTTCCCTTATTAGGGTTTTGTTGGTATGAGGTTATCTGTTGCCTGCATTCTTGTGGGTGTATTTAGCTTCCTTGGGTTGGGGTTTCTAGTAGTTTCTATAGGACTGTATTTGTGGATATGTATTGTTTAAATCTGGTTTTGTAATGGAGTATCTTGTTTTCTCCATCGATGGTGATTGAAAACTTTGCTTAGTATAGTAGTCTGGGTTTGCATTCATGGTCTATTAAGTGTCTGTAGCAATCTGTCCCAGACGTCGAAAGAAAGACAATGCTTCATACTAGAATATTAAACAATCTTTACACAACTGTGCAGTAAAAAAGTACAATGACCTCAAAAAGTAAACAATGTATAAGTATCTTGATCAGAGGTAGAAATATATAATACAATATGATAAATATATCCTAAAACTGTATCAATATACAAAATGTCTTAAACAGAGGTAGAAACATGCATGAATAAATATGACAAAATAATTTTGCATAGGTGTACAAATATTTTATACAGAAATAAGAGTATATCCAATATAACAAATATAATTTGAATTTATATCAATGTGCAAGAATCTATACCAATGTAAATGGTCTAATAAATAATAGCTCACAAGTATTCACTATATTACTCACTATTATCATTACTAGTGTGAATAAGCTCACACAATATACCTATTATCTCATTCAATTCCCCTTTTTTCCAGAGAGATCTCTCAGCCTACATAATTTCCACCACAACCCCATCCCTATACTAGTAATCATCAGCCCTTAAATGTTGTCTACTAACTTTTTTGGGAGAAGAGTCACTGCTGCTAAAATTACTCCCAGCTATCATGGTGGTGATATTCTTTTTATGGGATCCTGTAAATCTAAATAATGTTTAAGTTCCAAGATTACTGTCTGGTATAATTACAAATCTTCTCTAAGTAGTCAATAGGGTTTTTCCAATGCTCTTATTTGGGGTTCTGGCCAGAAGGTTTTAAGAAGGTCCGCCATTTCAGCTAAATAAGTTGCACCATCTTGAGCAACTGGTACTTAAATCTGGTCTTATAGTAGCACTATCAGCATCATGATGCCATACCAACCATGTGGGGTCATTGTTATGGGGCCCCATCTTCTTCCTGGAAACTTCAAAGAGTACTGCAGGAAAATCTATTGTTCATTGTGAAAAACTTAAACATTATTCATATAGACTAATATTCAATAAAAGAGATGATATAGACAAAATTAATATAGAGAAATGTAAAATATTTCCTAAAATTTTTCTTTTCTCTGTCCCATACTAGATGGCTTATGACATGAGACAGAAACTCTGAATTTTTCTTTTAATAACATGCTTGAATTTAGAGAAGGATAGCCATTTTCTAACTCCAAAGTTAGCTTTGATTTTTAAGTGAGTTTATTACTCACTTAAGTGAGTTTATTAATCATTATATAAAATGAATTTTTACCCTCAGATGTTCTGTCCTCATAAGTCATATTATTTTTGCTTGGTGATCCTTTCTGGATAGTTACTTTTCCTTTTTAGGAATCCATAAGTCCAGGGTCTCTTGACTTTTTGAAGATGAGTATTTTCCTGCAAAGACAAGAACAGAACCCTGCATCAACCTTTATGAGGTTTTCTAACCAAACAGTCACCCTTGTACATGGGCTGTCATTTTTCTTTCTCAAGAGGTTTATCATTTTCAAAAGGAATCTTTATTAATTATGATGGTATCCATAGCTTTTGTTCTCCTTCCACGGAAGCAAGAGCAAAACCCCTTCCCCAATGGAGCATTGTTTTTATTCTGAGGTCAACACATTCTTGAAATACTCCAACTAATTTAATTCAGAAGTTTTTTTCCTATTATTTAGTGTCTTCCTGCTGCTGTTGTTCCTTTTTCATTAGCATTAAGAAAATTCAGTGTTAATAAAGTCTCGGGCAATCTCTTCCTTAGGGTATTTCTACCCCTTTCTCTTTGTTTAACATATCCTTGATAGTTTGGTTTGATCTTTCTATTGCTGTCTGTCCTGGTAGATTTGTTTTGTATACCTGTAATATATTATAATATTATATAATTATAATAAGCAAAAAACTGTTTCATTTTCTTAGAGACATATGCTGGACCATTATCTTTCTTCATTTGTGCAGGTATACCCATGATGGCCATAACTTCTAATAAATGTGTGATTAATGTTTAAGTCTTTTATGAGCTCAAGGCAGTTGTCCATTGAAAACTTGAAAAATTGTCAATGGTGTGGTGTACATATTTTATTTCAACAAATTCTGTACAGTGGAACACATTCATCTGTCAGATTTCATTCCTTTGAGTACCCTTTGTGTTACTCCTTGAAGGTAGGAGTGTTTGGTTATAGAATAAGCAAGTAGGGCATCTTTTTATAATTGCCTTAGCTCACTACCATGTAATAGAAAACTCTTTCTTTAAACCTTTCCTATTGGCATGATTTTTTTTATGAAATTCTGAGGCCTTCAGCACACTTCCAATCAATAACCATTCTATTTCTCCATTACCTTGTGCTAGAGGATCTGGCAGACCTATGTGAGATTAGATGTGTTTTATGTATATGGGACAAAGCCTATTTCTGATTATATCTTGAATCTGAACAAATGATGAAGTCAATTCTGTATCATCTGGTATAAATTCAGCAGTTTCAATATGCAAGGCAACACTTGCTACATATTGCATATAAGTAACTATTTTGAGAGATTCTTTAAAATCCATTATTACCATGAAAATAGCATATAACTCCGCCTTTTGAACTGAATTATGAGGGATTTTTTTCTACCTTACTTACATCTTCTGAATTGTAACCTGCCTTTTCTATTTGCATCACTACAAAATGTATGGGCTCCAGTTATTGGTGCATCAAATAGAATTCAGGGAAGAATCCAAGCAATTCTCTTTATAAGGCTAATTCTATAGCTCTTGGAATAATTGCTATTAATCTCTCTGAAAAATAGCACAAACACTTTGCCAGGGTTCACTGTCTTCTCATTTTTTTTAAATTTCACCAGTTGTGAAATTAAAGGCACTATAATCTCTTGTGGGTTTATCTCTGTTAGTTGTCAAAGTCTTAATTTTCCTTTTATAATTAATTCAGAGACTTTTTTCACATAAGCTTTAAATTTTTTACTTGGTTTACATGGTAAAAAGACCCATTCTAAAATATTACCTTCTCTCTGCATTTAAGCTCCTGTAGGGGAAATGCTGGAAGGCAATATGACTAGAATGCAATTAAGATTTGGATCTACCCTATCAATATGAGCCTCCTGTATTTTCTCTTTAAAGACAGTCAATTATTTCTCAGCTTCAGCTGTTAATTCCCTGAGACTATTTAAGTCTTTTTCACCATCTACAGTTTTGTTTAAACGAAATATTAGATTAGGTGTTATCCCAATATCTGGTCATAGACTGGAAATATCTCCTAACAATTTTTGAAAGTCATTAAGAGTCTGTGTTTAGTCTTTCCTAATTTGTGCATTTTGTGTTCTAACTTTCTGTATATCTATTTATAACAAGCAATTGACAGAATTTCCTCTCTGTATCTTTTCATGAGAAAATTGTAATTTCCATTTAGACAAAACTTTCTTCTTCAAACATTTATTCTAAAATAATTGCATTTGAATGAGACAGCAAAATGTCATCCATATAATAATAAATTATATATTATGAAATTGCTTATGTATTATTTCAATGCCTGACTTACAAAGTATTGGCCCAAGGTCGGGTTATTGATCACTGCTTATGGGAGAATGGTCCAGTGATATCTCTTAGTAGGCTGATAATTATTATAAATAGGCACTCTGAAGGCAAATGTTTCTCTGTTCTTTTAAGAAACAATCTTCTAAATCTATAACTTTAAGAGGCCATAACTTAGGTAATAGAGAAGGTAAAAAATTTCTAGATTGGGGAGGTCCCATAAGTTCAATTACCGTGTTGAAAGCTCTTAGATCTGCCACCATTCTCTATTTTACATCTTTCTTTTCAACAACAAATACAGGAGAATTCCAAGGGCTGCATGATTCTTCTATATAGTGAACATCTAGTTGCTCATGTGCCAGCTGTTCTAAAGCCTATAGTTTTTCTTCTGTTAAAGGCCATTGTTTAATCCACCTTGATTTCTCAGTTAACTATTTTAAAGGTAGGGCTGTTAGTAACTCTGAAAATATGCTAATTGCTTTGTCTTTTTGTATAGCCTAAATGGCTAGTGACCTTTGTTTATAGCACTTTATAATATCCTTCCCAGAAACATGAGTTTTTGGAACTGCAGGAATGTAAAAATGGGCAGTCCATTATTACAGTATGTCATGATCCCATAAATTCACTGCTATGTTAGCTACATATGTCCTCAGTCTTTCTTTTTGGCCTTTGGCCCTATTCATTCAACCCATCTTGTGCTTTGTTTTATTTGAGATAGGTTTTTATTTCATAGGAATTGAACATCTGCCTCTTAAAGAGGCCAATTTGGATGTCAAGATTCTGGAGTAATGATAGTCACATCCACACCTATGTCCAGTAATCCCTCAGTTACAATGTTATTTATATGCACTGTTAGCATTGATCCTTGATCATTTAGATCAAGACTTATAGAAGTCTGCCGAAATAAACGTTTTCTATTTCCTATTGGAGTTTTTGTTTTATCATCAATGTCTATTCCATCATCCAGAACAGTATGTTTTTTTAATAATAGGCCCTTGATTTTTTAATTTTCCTCATGAGTCATGTTCTCCACAGTGACTGGGAATGAATTGACCATGTTTTACATGGGAGCCTGACAGAGGTCCCTCAAGGAGTTACTCAATGGTATCAGGTTACCTTGTCTGTCTTTTGTTAATCTACATTCATTGGTCCAATGTCGGCCTTTGCCACATCTCTTACATATTCCAGAAATTTTTGCCATTTCCAGAGGAGATATTATTTATAGAAATTCTTTGCCTACATCCTTCTTATGTGTCTTTTTCTATCACAGTTAAAACATTTGACACTTTGATGTCTCCTCATATCATTGAAAATTGTTTCTCCTACCAAGACGTAGTACTATAGTCAAATTTCTTAATGTTCACTGTATGCAGGATACATTAATCTATTGGTGTTGATCTGATCTTTAAAGGCCCAAGCATCTTTTTTCATTCTGAGTTGGCATTTTCAAAAGCCAGAGGTACAATAAGTACACATCTAGCTTCTGGGTCTGTTTCTTCTGGTTGTACAACCTTAGTTAATTTTTTTGTAAAAAAGTAACTAAAGTCTTCTCTCTGACCCTGATTAACCCTGGTATAAGATTCAATTCTCTTTGCTGATTCTTGAATCCTGTCTCAAGCATTTAAAGCTGCTGTGTTGCATAGGGACAAGCTGTGTTCATTGTAGAAAGCCTGAGCCTGAGGAACCCTCTCCAAACATTTGATCTTGGGAAGTCTCAAATCCTTTTGTTTTTCCCTGTTGTTCTAAAAGTTTTACATTTTTCATAAATAACATTTCCATAGCAGCTCTGGTCTGTCTTCTAGGACTGCTAAGACTAATTGAAGCTAATCATGTGGGGTTGTTTTCTTTTTTGAAGCACACATTTTCACCATTTTCCTATCAAATGGTAGTGCAAGCCATAAGACATTATTGCTTGTTTAATTTTCTTTGGATTGCTCATACTTATAGGTCACCATATATTTCATTATTATTTTCTTTGACTATCTTAGGGCACTTTGTACCAGATGACTTCTCAGAGAAGGTTACTGGATAAGTAGCTACAACTCTGGCTAAGTCATCCTTGACTTTGACCTGTACTATCAAGGCTAAATCCTGTTCTTGTACCTTTGCTCCCTGCTCATCAGTTCCAATAATTTCTTAAATTGTTTCAAATCTTTTCTCCACTGTCTTTTGTAAAGTCTGAATCTCCAGTCCTGTGTGCCGCTCTAGTGCTCTCATTTGTTCATTTAGCTTCTGATCCTTATTCTGGACATATGATTCCAATTTATGAAATTTTTTTCAGTAAATCCAATGTCTCATCCTTGGACATTGGATGGCATGCATGTTGCCTTCCTGGAAAGATACCTTATCTGTTAACCTATCATTACTTTTCAACAATTTCTGATTGTTAAATTCAACAGTATGAATTCTTTCAGATAGTTTTTCAGTACCCTTTGACAGGGACTGGATGTTTTTTACACTGCTTCTGTACAGTATAGCAAACTGATTCTGCATGCATTGTCACCTATGTAGATACTGATAAAATATGATTTGGTTAAAAAAATAAGAGCAGTTATTTAAGACAATTAAAGTGATTCCATACACACAGAGAGTCTTTGTTGGCTTTCTGTCAGTCATATACTATCTCTGTGTGCTGCCAACAGAGTAATGCCATGTAGATTGCAATGTTAAAAAAACAGAATGTGGGCTGCTGTGGGAAAAAAAATTGGGGTCCTAGGTAGTGGCACGTAGGCCACAGGTGGGCAATAAATGTGCCTAGGCTGATGTGAACTCAGTCCCATGTTGGCCAGCCAGATGAAGTGAAACATGTCAGATGGGAAGAATGGAGATCAAATAATCCCACACTTGCTCTGAGTAGGGTATAATAAGGTTTTTCTTTATTAAAAGGGAAACTCACAGATAAGAAGGAGGAAACAGGAACAGGGTCTAACTTCTAGGTGTGGCACATGGGAAGAAGAATCCGAGTGAACACTCCTGTGGGCTTGTTTGTACTCAAAGGCCACACCCCATCTGGTCCAGTCCCCCAAAGGCCATTGGCTGAAGGAGGTACCCCATAAAAAGGACTTTCACCTAGGAAGGTCAGGAGAGGAAGGCAGGATTCAGGATTATAGTCATAATTTTATGCTAAAAGACTCACACATTCCTAAAATAATTGAAAAGTATAAGTTCATCAGCATTTTTGTTTCTTAGCAAATCAACTGACATTCAAAACATAATCCAAATTTAGTAAATCTTAGAACTTTAAGTTTTAGTGTAATTTGTTCATAATTGCAATAGTCATTACTTAAATAGAGACTTTTTTCTGTATGTTGAAGTATTTGAGTCCATTTAGAAAAAAAATCACAAAACTGTCTGTCTCTGGACTCCTCCCACATAATATCTACAAAAGACCAGGTAGACAACATTCTGACCTCCAATCCCTCTTTTTACTAAGGACCTATTTTTAGTTGAGGGTTGCTTAGGGGAGGGTAAAACACTTTGTAAAATATGGATGTGGCCACTTACTTGTTGATTCCTAGGTTCAAGTGGATGGCTTATATAGACAATACTGACTGGACTTAGTGTGTTATATATAAAATAAATGACATAAGTTAGAAGAGTGACTTGTTGAGGAGATATAGAGGGGAGTTGTAGGGGGAAATGGTAGATGAGCATTGAAAATTGCTCATATTTCAATGTACATATGAATAAGATTTTCAAGAACAACAAAATATAAATAAATTACCATAGTAGTATTATTATATTTGTATTAAAAGGAGACATTAATTTTATGTAATGACCCATGAAAAATCTATGTAAAATGGGTTATGTTTTACTTATAAATTAATTATACTGTATAAACATCTTTACTGCCAATATTTAGTCCTTTCATGCAGAGTTAATGACTGTTTGGAAGAAAGTTAATTAATCTTACTGTCATCTGTCTGCTCAATGCTCTGTTACTAATCTAACTGCTTTAAAGTCTAGAAACTTTGACCTTTGTCCATTTCTTCCAGATAAGGTCAGTGGCTGCTCCAGAACTGATTGCATAAACAGTGTAATTTGTATGCTTGCTGCTTGCTTTCTATTGCAAAAGCAGAATTTAAGTGTGTCCTTTCAAGCTCAAATAAAAATCTTAAAAATTATTTCAATAGCTTTTCTTGTTAAAAACAATTCCCATATGTTTTAAAAATCAAATTCAGGGAGATGTTAGTGTGTCCTGTGTGTCTTCCCTGGAGGGTATTTACACAATGATTTTCTTTCACTTTTTCTTTTCTTTTCTATTTTTTAAAAAATGTTTGAGATTACAAATACATTACTCAGTTTGTTTTACTCCCTTTATATCAGTGTGTCTCAACCTAATGTAGTGACTGCAAACTATAAAATTATTTTTTTCTGCTTCATAACTGCAATTTTGCTACTATTATGAATTGCAATGTAACTACATGCATTTTCTGATGGTCTTAGGTGACCCCTGTGAAACGGTTATTCAAACCCCAAAGGTGTCATGACCAACAAGTGAAGAATCACTGTTCTAAACTTTCTGATATATATCTCCCAATTCTTTTGTAAATCCATGGCCCCTTTTTATTAATTTCTATTTTCACTGAGTAAGCAATTAGTGTATCTTTCCATGGGGAACACCAAGGTTCACTTTCCTAACTTTTGTAAGATACCCATAGATCTTTGTGTTGGTTAAGGCCTCATGAGTTTTTCCTCTGTTCAGTTTAGAATGACTTTTGGTGCTATCCTTGTTCAGTCATATTTAGGCAGTCATGTTGGTAAAACCTTATTAGTGTAGCTTCTGACATTACTAGGAGATAAAATCTCACAGTAAACTCCATAATCCTCTGACTTTTGAAGTCTTTCTCCCTCATCTTCTTCAATATTCCCTGAGCCTTGGGTGCAAGTGTACTTTGCAGATGTATCCATTGGACTGGCTTAGTTTTGGGTGTAGTTTCCTGTAGTGATATCTCTGTTGCAAAGAAAAGGGGATTTCTGTTTCTTTGAGAAGGGAATCAAAGACAGCAATGCAAAGAGATAATAATTTTTTTATTAATGGAATATCCCTTTTGCTGAAGACATAAATTATTCTTGTCATTACACATGGACAAATCAACCTACTGATACTGGAAAGTACTTTGTATGTTACCAGAAGGGAAAAGTAATTATCACTCTGAACCAGCGACAAACCAGTTATCTGCCTGCAATATATATTGTTGCAACCATGGCTCAAATGTTATGGAAATAACCAGTTACTTTTTCAAAATTGGATTTAAGGTCCACACTATGACATAGGGCTCACACTTGACATTGTGAAAGTTGACAAGAACCTGCAAGCACATAGGTCATAGGCTGTCATAGAGGAAAAAAATTTGCTATTATTCTGGTAAATGAACACGGCAATAAAATGACTCCTAAAGTTATATTGCTGTACTCATAGAACAGCTTATCACTGAACCTTCATCAGAGAAGCTTATTCTTTTAGTAGATGATAATTAACAAAGAGACCCAGAACTGAACAATGTGCAGAGTAAAAGACATTGGAACACTCAGCACTAAATGGGATGTCTTTATAAACCCCTCCCAT